TATTTGGTAAACATTCGGATCGCTCGTCGAGCTATCTTCCTAGTTCTGCCCCGGGGTTACCCAGTATCGTAACGCGTCCAACGGTTTCTGAAAAATCGAGATTCTCCGTGGAGACCCGGCTCTCTTACGGTCACCCAGCGTGTCCGGCGATCGAGATGAGAGCTACTGCGACGCACGGCCAGAATTGTACTAAAATGTGCAATGATGGGAAGCGAATTTACTCTTCTACCCGTCGCGCTTGCCAGGCCAGTTTCAGCCGCAGGTAGTATGCGCCGGTCCCTTACAATGCATTTAATTCGGCTGTGCGTGCGCGTGCCTGTGCCTGTCCTGTGCCTGCACTCCTGTGTGTGCGTGCGTGCGTGCGTGCGGCGTCTCTCAGCCTGCTGCCAGTGTAAGCGACACGTGCGTGCGACGGTGTATCCGTCGACCGACCGTTGGTGTGTTGTGTGTGCGTTTTGTCTTTTCTCTCTCCCCTGTTTCTTGTTCCATGGTTCCTCCTTCGGACGCATGCGTGTCGGGTCGAACAAAAACGCGAAATGCGGCTGGACGAATTAACGTTACTTTGCCCGATGGAAAAATCATCGTCGCATTTCGCCGACGACGCTCCGAATGCTCTCTCTACGCCTACATTCGAGTTGTTCCCCGAGTTTTACCTTGTGTCGTGTATGCACGCACACCTTGCTCTCTTCTTATCGCTCCGTGCCCGCTGATTAAACGAAATCCGACCGTTTGCCGTCGATATTTCTGCTACACCTCCTTTATCCGAGCGTCGCACGTTGTTCGGGGTTCGCTGGTATTTAATTCGTCAGCTGAAACATGCGAATCGACTGTCCGTACTTGATATTTTTCAATTCGCTCGCGTAAATGTCTCTATAAGCGTTCACTCTATATAGTAGCTTTGTTCTCGCGATGCGCATCGTAGCCGTGTTTGCCGAGAGAGATAAGTCACAGAAAAAAATGCCCATTCATCTCTGTCCACTTAGGAGGCAGCTCCAAGTGTTACTGCTACTGGCAGAAATTTATTCAATCTACCGTTCTCGTTTGAACCATTTCAATGATCCGAAGTTTACACCGGACCTCGAGTATATTTTACTTACAGGGTGTCACCGAACGTTTACCCGTTGAACGAGTTGAACTGATTCTCGATGCTTTCCCTGTAATATATTTCCTTGGACGGAAAGAAAAACTACGAAGACGAACGTGTTTAGTCGCGGTGTAACCTTACTGGAACCGTTTCGTGCCACTATTCGGCGTGTCATCGCTAGTCTCATGCTACTTAGTCATCCCTGTTGCACATACAAGGAATGCGCTTTTTTTCTGCATGTGCATTTTTGTCGGCGAGGGTCGTCCGTCAGGGACTTGCTCGAATTCCTTCGACCGGTTCAATCGCGTCGCAGTAGACGACAAGTAGAACGGACGAGACAATGTACAGAGGGAAATTGAATCGGTTTCGTTAAGCTCCTCGACGCGCGTATGATAAATCACCTGGTGATTCTCAATTGATAAATTAAACATTTCTCTTTTCGCATGAAAGTCGGCCTTTCATGTGGGTAAACGGCAAACCGCCCGACGACCATATCGCATGTTTACGTTCGCGTTGCTATAAATTGGTCGCCTTTCGTGGTCTTTGACCACCGAACTTGCCATACAAATTTACATAACATAAACACACACACCACGGACCGTTACAAACGCGTATGTGCATTTGAAACGGTGGCAAACACTTGTTTCAAACATCTTTCTTTCCGACGAACGATGATCTCATTTCACGGCGAAAGGAGAATGCAACAGAGAATCCGAAGTAAACAAGTGGACTCTGATAATGACTCGCCTCCATTATTGATAGCGGGAGGAGAATAATATTTATAATACGGCTAACGCAAGCGTGTTCCTGCCCTATCTTGCTTTATGTATTTATATTTACCCCTTTTTAGACTCCGCTTATTCTTAGACCGTCGTGTGCTGCTATTCTCTCTCTCTCTCCCTCCCCCTTGAACCCTGCCTCTCTTCCCATTCATGCCCCGCTGGCTGAAACATAAACGTAGAGTCACAAGGGAAGAGAAATCTCAAGAAATTTCAACTCTGTGATAAATCTCGTTTTGCAATTTCATGGACATTGAAAGAACAATGTATTTCTCATTTAAACTTGTCCTATCTCTTTCTCAAGCTAATCCACAGTACAGAAAAATTTGCAATTTCTCAAGGGGTGGTCTCTCTCTCTCACCCCTTCAGACTGAAATTCGCGAGAATAATTGCAAATTAAGCTTGACTCGCTCTACTTACACACAAAGCTTCATAATTATTGGAATGTCCGGGTTCGATGCAGCTTCCCTTGTCGACTTTCAGTCAACTTGGTATTCGATGAACTGTTCGCAGGCCACGTGGTAGAATCTGAAATATTGACAAATGAATTGCAACCTTGCTTACTGGAATAACCAAAAATATTCCATGCAACGCGTCCCGTTCCTACCGGTAGGTTCGGTGAAAGTGGGATTAACCGTTTGCACTTGAAGTTTTTCACTAGAAATATCTGAACATTTTCTGATGAGGTACAGACAATGTATTCAGTGAAACTAACTCGAAGAGAAATTATATTACATTGAGGTACATCAAGGAGCAAAGCTATTTTATTACAATATTTTTTCAATTGATCAGTTATGCAAGGTATATAATATTAAATATGAAATTTTATAGTTTCACTGTTTGAAATCAGGTGATGACTGAGAGAGTCACCTCTCGAGTGCAAAGGGTTAAAAGTCGTACGCGCCAAGCGGATCCGTTTATTCGAACGTTTTCGACGATTCATCCTAATGAGAGAGAGAGAGATAAGCTTCCCAGAACCGCGGACACTCTTAACGAGGGCACATCCGCGAATCTCGAGTAATTCTCGCGTTAAGGTTAAGGTCACGTTTTTTATTATTCCGGAGAGGAATAAGAAATGATCTCCGGAGGAAATATCGATCGACGAATCACCTTGCAATGCTGAGAACCGAAGGGGATCCAGCGGTGCTCGTTTCCTTTTGGGCGAGCACAAAAGGTCAGCGACTCAATCTTGCGTCGAGATCCCTGCGAAACCGTTATGCTCGTTCAAATCTGTGAAAATGGCGCCAGACGTGCAGCGCCTGAGCCTTGAAAAATTCGAATTTCATCGGAACGAAAATTCAAATTTATTTCTTTTATACATATGTATATATATAATTTTTTCTCTCTCACCTTTGTCATCGGAGACTTCTATCGAAGCGTTTAGAGTTGTAGTTTGCGCGTTGCTCTTGAAAAATACTAGGTAAACGAACCGCTTCGTTTCAAAGATGAATCATAGACTCGATTCTACGAAGAACGGCTTCCCTACTTTATCTTCACCGACAAGGACATCGAAGTACGAAACCGCGGCGATGTTATCTACCGAGAATGACGACGCACTTACCACGTGCGATTTCGCGTGAGTTACATTTCGAGCTGTTTTCCTCGATATCCTCGGTGCTCGCGTATTATCGTTGCACGAGTTCGAATTTTTCGAAGAATTTCAATAAAAACATTCAACCGAACGTTTCATTTGACAAATACAATTAAATGCGGGAATAATTCAAGTATACGACGCCATCTGTTGTCATTTGCGTCGAACATGATTAACTCTCGACTTCTCTATATTTTAAACACCATAGAAATTCTTATTCCGTCGACGAAAAGAATTGTCGGAATAAGAAAAAGAAAAGAAACGTAAAATAGTTTGTTCGATTCGGAAAAGTTGCAACGAATATATAATGGAAGCACAGAGGATGAACAACGGCGAATTATTTCCCCGTTGTCTGTTGGATTATCGAATGATTTTTTGCCGAATAGAGGGTGGTGAAGTTTGTGTGCAGGAAATTGCACAACAACAACTTCCGTGGCATGCTAAGTCAATATCAATTTCTCGCGCGCTATTTGTGGCTTCGTAGGACCGCGTTGCCTGTAGCGATAGCACCGGCTTTTATCGGTTCGCTCTAATCTCTTAGATCGTACCTACCGTTATCATCTCTTTTCTGTTCGAACGAGAGCGGCGAGCATCGGTGGTGTGGCATTAAAGCGCATCTTCGTTTCGATAAACGGGCAAGCACACCGCGATCAATCTCTCTCTCAACGTATATTTTCGAAAAACGCTTGTTAAACACGAATCGCGTTTGCCCTTCGAGAGGGGTCGCTCGAAGGAAAATTTCTGCGTCGTTGTCGACGATAAGGTGGGGGCGACGACGCCTCATGCGAACTGGTCTTATCGGCTCATTGTCACGAGCACATTGAAACGTCGCTATTAAACACTGTCAATCTTATCGGCGCAAATATTCAACGGGACCCGTGAAATCTCTGTTTCAGGCTGTTGTGCGAAGGGACTCTCGAGGAAAATCGTTTGCAAGATGGCAGTCGGCTGACGTTGCTGCCAAACGTGGAAACCGGCCTGTTGGTAAGTGGTGTCTTCAACTTTTTTCCCCTGGGAATCATTGTAACGCGATCAACGGTTTTTCTGCGTTTTCCTCGCGCCGACGGGAAATCTATCGTTGCCTCTTTGTCATCGATAAATCGGTTCCCATGGGAACGAACACCTTCGTGAAACGCTGGACGCAGTTTCCTTTCTTTGTATCCGATTTTCTATGGTGCGTATCGATGTGACTGGATCGATGCAGATCGATAATCGCCGGGCCTGGAATCTTCATGGCTACCCCATGGAATTAAAAAGGAATACGATTTCTTCCTGCATGCTCTGCTCGTGGCCGCGACCCGGTCGCGCGCGTTCGTTCGTCAAAAGAAAACCGTCGGAACAGGAATTCTCAGAAGAATGGCGATCCGGACGAACGCCGTTAACTCCGGTTGGCTGTTCGTGTATCATCGGGTCACTTGGTTTCTCGGTCACCGTTTCGTCTCGGCTCCTTTGGTTTCCGGTACTGTGTTGCGTCATATTTTTTCCTTTGTCGAGCAAACAATCTACGATTCTAGATCCGCGAGGGTCACGATTCAACGAACCCGCTCGATAAACATATGATGCGTGGCACCTTGAACCTCGATTTCGAGACCGGCGCCCGCAGTACAACGGACGCGTCGCATAACCTCACTTTTTTCAACCACGCCGACGGATTATTCGACTGAATTTCGATCACTTTTAGGAACGTAATTGGCATGTTAGATATCGACCGACAGGGGATGTCGACCGTATACTGTCCCGGCCGAGGAGTTCTCAAGAATATCGTTCGCCGTGTAGGAGGTTAGGAGACAGAGGTGTAGCGAAGGCTTGGTATTAGGCTGCTGAATAGGTTGAAAGTTTTGATAAGCGGAGAGAGAGAGCGAACCGTCGATTCTGAAATGCTTCCCTAGGCGGAAGGTTTTATCGATCGTCCTATGGAAATTCGTGAAGGTGGAGAGCGGCGCGCCACGCGCTTTCGCATTATCTCCGTGGGAGGACGTGGGAAGCGTGGCCGAAAGCGGTATTAAACCTTCATGTTCTTCGTTATAACCTTGTCATTTGTCTGATTTCTATCTGTACTCTTGATGCTTTCAGACCGGCGAGATAACACGAATTCGGTGACACACGTGAATGCCACTATTGCGAGCGAATAGTATTTCAAATGAAATTAAACTGAAGGAGATATCCACGCATAGGGAAGTTGCATATTCAAGTGGTTCAAGGGCATAAAGGATTAAACGATAATTCAACGCTGTGTTAGCAGTGTTTTCCTAGGCAAGGTTTTTCCTTAATGACATCTGAAGGCACTAGTGAAATTTGGTGATGGTTCTCTGAATTGTTAGCTGCACAATATTGCATCAGGACTCGTGTTGCAGAGATGCTGTGTTAGCAACGTTTTTCTAAACAAGGTTCCCCCTTAATGAAATCTTAAGACACTAGTGAAATTTGGTGATGGTTCTCTGAATTGTTAGCTGCAGAATATTATTGCATCAGGACTGGAGTTGCAGAGATGCTGTGTTAGCAACGTTTTTCTAAACAAGGTTCCCCCTTAATGAAATCTTAAGACACTAGTGGAATTTGGTGATGGTTCTCTGAATTGTTAGCTGCAGAATATTGCATCAGGATTCGTGTTGTAGAGATGCCGGGTTCGAACGGACTCAGCGCCTAACCGAAGGGGCGAGGAAGCATTACATGACCGAAGCGGGTTGCGCGTCGTCGCAGGTCCATTCATCGAAGCCCAGATTCCCCGAGGAACGGGCGCGTGTGCGCGCAAATCGAATTACCGAATATACCGATGACCGTCAGCGAAAGGAAGTCCGTTAGGTGTAGCGAGGGATAGGCTAGCCGCGGCGCGGCGCGGCGAAGGTCTGAGCCGTGGTTCCGCGAGGTTTCCTCTCTTCTGCAGGTCTTCTCACGTTTCCATCTTTCGTCGGTAGGCTGATCGATTTTCCCTGAGCTGATCTGTACTCGGTGGATGAATAGAAGCGAGAGAAAGAAAGAAAGAGAACCGTTATATCGAGAGTTGAGTTACGTTGGGATTCTCCTGGAAGGAGACAAGACGCTTTCCAACCCAATCACGGGTCCCTCGATAGGCCCTCCTTCCACTGTGCCAGTGAAAAGGAAGGGACGGGCAGATTGGTATTGATATTTAAAAAAAGACCGCTGTTCCTCGAGATGATTTCTCGATAGAACCCTGGTCGACGGTACATCGGTACACTTTGCAACTCTTGATCCGACTGGAGCGTGGCTCGAAGTGATTCGCATTAGGTTTAGCCGAGCCTAATGGCTTCCTCGCTTATGAAAGTATTTAAATACGGTATTCCACGGACAAATCGTGGACAACGTGTCCGACCCGGCATATGAAATGTGAATCGTCGGACGGTTGTTGTTACTTTGCAACAGGAAAAAGTTGATTATACGTTGGAAATTGATTAGCATAAATGTTTTCAGGCGCAACGACCGGAGCAGAGCGTGATGCAAGCACTGGAGAGCCTGAACGATTCCCAGGTGAACGACTTCCTGTCCGGGAAAGCACCTTTGAACCTGACGATGCGACTCGGGGATCACATGATGCTGATACAGCTGCAGCTGTCGACGGTGACGCCAGCCTCGCCGACCAGCAATCAGACGACCGGGAACAGTACCGGTCTGACCATCGGCAGTTCAAACGGGACGAATCCACCCTCCAGCCACGTCTCGACGTCGCTGCAAAGTAGACGGTCCACGGTTTTTGCCGGCCGAACGACAAACGCCGGCTCGACGAAGAGCGCCGCCGCTGTCGCGGCGCGACGATCCTCTCTGTTCGACCGTCTGGCGTCGACGGTGCAGCGGGTGTTCAGCCGCAGCACAAGCTTGTCGACTGCCACCACGACCACCAGTCCCGTTTGCTCGAGCCGCGCGACCACTGCCTCCTCGGTTTCTTCCTCCTCGTCCTCTTACTCGGCT